TGGAGGGGCTGGCAACTGCTGGAATCTTGACCTGCGAAGATAAACTCATTGAAGGAACGACGAGAAATTTTATTCTAAAAACACTTCTCTCATCTCTCTCTGTCTCTGTCTCTATCTTTCTCTCCCTCCCTCCTATCTCTCTCTTCTCTCTCTCCCCTCTCTCTCTCTCTCTCTCTCTCTCTCTCTCTCTCTCTCTCTCTCTCTCTCTTTCTCTCTCTTTCTCTCTTCTTCTGTGTATACAGGCTAGACAGGTTGCATTGATTCCCCCCTTAGCCCAATCCATCGGTGCAATAATCACAGACAACCAATGCAATCCACCCGGAACGTGTAACAACGATTCGGGGAATTTGTCTCTGCTGACCAAACGTCGAGCAGTGAGTCAGGCGATGTTCAACAAGACAGACAAATAAATGAATCAAACAAACAAACAAACACAAACCAAAATAAAACAATGACAAGACCTCAAATCACCCTGTAGCCCCCACCACTACTAACACAGAGCTATTTAAGAGTAGTCTGGCACACCATATCGTCCTGGGATGCACAACCTCAAGAGCAAAACGACAGATCTAAGTCGTGGTTATGGCGTTGCGTCAAGGAATGCCACGGGAAGACAGAATTAGTGAAATAACAGGTGGTGCAGTAAATATTGTTAAGGCTGTTACATCTTCATGTTCCCTCCTGCTTATTTGTCAGGATTTCTTGAGGTCTCATAGCACTACAGGTTTGTGCAATAAAAGGGAGGTAATCCCAAGGCTTTTCATTCATCAAACATAGTACAGTGTCCGAAAATCGTTGGCACTTCCTTTTTTCACTGCGCAAAGAACGACATTGTTGAATTAAAAGTAAAAGCAAGCACTAGTCACACATGTGCAGAAGTAGTTAAATCATCATTTATTCAACAGTTCAAGCAGGTAATAGTGATAGAATAGATTTCTATCAACCAAAAACTGGTGTGCGTGGTGAACTGGGCAAAAGTGTATGAGATCGATTTATGTCATTAGGAAAATAATGCATACTCTGTCACATTTTTAAATATACACTGTGTTAAAATGAAAATAGCTAGTTTCTCAATGAGTCGATATTCTTTAATTAAAATTTTACGAATACGAATTCAATCAATTTTATAAACAACAACTACAATATGGAATGTTAACATAACAGGTTTTCTCACGACTTGTGGGGGTGGTTCATAGAAGTAACACGATCAATAGCGTTGATGACGCCTGACATCATCGCCGTCTTGAATCACTCAATCGCTGCGCTGCCTGTTGAGGGATGTTGTTCCACTTTTCATGCGATGCTCTCTCAAGCTGAGGAAGTGTCTGATGCTAGTGTTGTCGCATGTTGTTCAACTCATCTCTGATTTGTCTTGCCGTTTTGAAACGATTTCGTAGATGCGACAGGCGTATAAAAAGATTCTTTCTTGGAGTAGTTTTTCTTCTCCCACGTTGGCGGTGTCGATCCTTTCCTGATTTTGTTTTCTCGCGATCCATTTTTTTGTACACAGTTCTTCTTGTTACATTGAAATGTCTCGTAGGGTGGATTCTGAGGCACCCCGCGGATCATTCCAACAAGCTGATTTCGCACATTTTCTCTTAGGGCGTGGCATCATGAAACGTAGAGAAAACAAGTTTTAACACTTGCGAATAGTTACAAAAATGACAACGTTTTGATGCGTGCTTCTTTTTTAAACAAATCATTGCGGTATCATGAGGAATTCTCAAAAAACACAAAATATGTAAAACGCATGCAGTTTCAAAACCACTCACGCGTTCAGAAATCTGAAAACAGCTCACCAGTGACCGGTATATCACGTAATCAGTATTTAAATTTGAAAGTAATTGGGGGGGGGGGGGATAGATTTTGTTTTATTGAGCTTCAAAATATATATACTTCAAAAAGTGACGGAGTATAGCTATTATGTTTGTCATTCTGCAGGTACGTATTTCACACAGTCCACGAGAGCTGACTCGAACGAGTTGATGTAGACGTCAACGTGAAAATTCCAGGATTCCACATTTCAACCCGTTACATCTGTTGCTCAGATGACGAACGAAATTTCGCTAACAGTGTTATTGGCTGCACTTTAACATTTTTTTAAAAATAAGGCTTCCTTGCCAACACCACTGACTGGCTGTCATTTCCACCAATCCCCTCTCCTTACCTCCTCCCCTTTATCCCCATCACATCCGCCCCCCCCCCTAAAAACAAAAAAACAAAAAACAAACAAAACCAACACGCACATACTTTTCATTGTATACCTACATCTTCGCCATCCCTAACTACACACACACACACACACATACACATACACGCACACACACACACACACTTACATACACATATACACGCATACACACACACACACACACACAAACACTCACATACACACATACACGCACACACACATACACGCACGCACGCACACACACACACACACACACACACACACACACACACACACACGCCAAATTCCACTGGGCCCTGAAATATTTGGTATCTACATAAAGTTAAGAGTTTAAATACAATTAAGATAGCATGAAGCAATAATTGATACCGTACCAATGACATGACGCTGTCCCATGCAGATTAAGTCTAGAACCAGAAACAACAGTGTACTTGAAATGCACATGCACTGAACATAGCACACCAATTCCTGGTCATAATCAAAGGTTCTAGTCACACTTCTCAGAATACTGCATAAGTCTAAGTGAAGATAGGGACTGTGTCAAATGGTAACTAATTACAGAATTCAGTGTCTGGCCGTGGTGACGAAAAGGGGGAGGGGAGGCCCAGACCCCGTCAGCCCAGTGCCTCTCCTAGTA